TGTGCTTTTCAACAGCATGTTTTACTTTTTGGTTGTCAGAGGTTGTAAATTCTCTGAGCTAGAAAGTATTTTGTGAGGAGCTTCTTAAGTGGAGTTACCTTTCTTTCAGCACAGTAAAAAATAAAAAAATTCAAGCTTTGAGTCTTGTGTAGAATGTATACATTTATTTGTGTAAAGAAAGGATTAGGAGGGCAGTATTTATTTCTGGGCTGGGGGCCTGTATCCTGGTGGGGCTGAAAGAGCACTCTCCATTATCTGTATATTTCAAATACTGGTTGTTGTTGTTTTTGTAAATGGTCTGTGTATGACTTATCTATATTTTGTATACATGAAAATAAATAAAATAAAACATAAGGCTAGCAGACTCAGATTTTTCCATCTATATTCTTGAAGTCTCTCTCTGTGTATGTATGTGTGGTAGATAGGAAACAGCAGGGAGTAGGAAGTAAAGGAAAAATATTTCATCTTTGAATTATCTTAAGGGGTGCATATGTCTCTTCTAGCCATCTACCACTTGTCTGTCAGTTTGTTATACTATAGTTGCTAGTGTGTTGCTGTGTTGCTGGCAGCCATGCCAGCAGTATTTTAAATACCAGCAGGGTCGCCCAGGGTAGACAGGTTTCAGCAGAACTTCCAGACTGAGACAGATCTGGGGAAGGAGAGAAAGATCACTTCTGAATGGTTAGTCATTGAAAATGCTATGTATAGCAGCAGAATACTATCAGCTATAGTGACAGAAGATGAGCCCCTCAGGTTGGAATACACTCAAAATATGATAGAGGAAGAGCTTCGTCCTCAAAGCAGAGCTGACATGGATGGCGTTAAGTTTTTGGGAACTTCATTTACTGATGTGCCACGACTCAAATAAACAACTACAAACATCATTAATAATTAGAATGTGGAACGTGTAAAGTATGAATCTAGGAAAATTGAAAGTTGTCAAAAATGAAATGGAACATACAAAGATCAATATGCTAGGAATTTGTGAGCTGAAATGGACTGGTATTGGTCATTCTGAGTCAGGCAGTCATATGGTTTACTATGCCAGGAATTACAAATTCAAGAGGAATGATGTCACATTCATCATCAAAAAGAACAGTTCAAGATCTGTCTTGAAGTACAGTGCTGTCTGTGATAGGATAATATCCATATACCTACAAGGAAGACCAGTTAATACCACTTTTATTCAAATTTATGCATCAGCCACTAAAACTAAAGGTGATGAAACTGAAGAATTCTACTAACTTATTTAGGACTCCTGAAGTGGCACTGTGAACCACAAAGTCGGCAGCTCAAACCCACTAGCTGCTCCTTAAAAACTCCATACATTATCACTATGAGTCAGAACAGATTTGATGGCACTTAACAACAACAACCAACTTATTTAGTCTGAAATTGATCAAACATGCAATCAAGATGCATTGGTAATTACTGGTGATTAGAAAGTGAAAAATGGAAACAATGAAGAAGGATCAGTAGTTGGAAAATATGGCTTTGGGGATAGAAATGATGCAGGAAATGACAGCATAGAATTTTGTAAGCCCAATGACTTATTCATTGTAAATACCTTTTTCAACAACATAAAAGGTGGCTGTACACCTGGATCTGACCAGATGGAATACACAGGTATCCAACTGACTATATCTGTGGGAAGAGATGATGGAGAAGCACATTATCACGAGCCAAAACAAGGCCTGGGGCTGACTGTGGAACACACTATCGATTACTGAAGAAAATTAAAACAAGTCTACGAGATTCAAAATATGACCTCTAGTATATCCCACTGGAATTTAGAGACCATCTCAAGAAGATATTTGATGCATTTGACACTAATGATGGAATACCAGAAAAGTTGTGAGATAACAGCAAGATTATCATATATAAAGAAAGCAAAAGGTCATTAAAGATAGGAAAAAAAGAAAAATCTAAGGTGGATGTCAGAAGAGACTCTGCAACTTGCTCTGGAGTGTAGAGAAGCTAACGGGACTGGGAAAAAATTATGAAGTAAAATAACTGAACATAAAATTTCAAAGGGTAGCTTGAGAAGACAAAGTTAAGTATTATAATGAAATGTGCATAGATCTGGAGTTAGAAAACCAAAAGGGAAGAACATTCTAAGTACTTCTCAAGCTGAAAGAACTGAAGGAAAAAATTCAAGCCTTGGCTTGCAATACTGAAGAATTCTATGGGCAAAATACTGAATGATGCAGAAAGCACTGGAAGAAGATGGAATATATATAATCATTGTACCTAAAAGAAATGGTCAATATTCAACCATTTTAAGAGGTAGAATATGATCAAGAGCCAATGATACTGAAGAAGGCCAAGCAGCACTGAAGGTACTGGTGAAAAGCAAGGATCCAGGAATTGGCAGAATACAAATAGAAATCTTTCAACAAACTAACTCAGCAGTGGAAGTTATCACTCATTTATACCAAGAAATTTTGAAGACAGCTATAAAGAGTTCCATATTTGTGCCCATTCCAAAGGGAGGTGACCCCATGGAATACAGATATCATTGGACAATATAATTTTTTTTCACATGCAAGTAAAATTCTACTGTCTATAATTCAAAAGCTGTTACAACAGTACTGACAAGGAACTGTCGGAAATTCAAGCCCGATTCAGAAGAGGATGTGAAACTAGGGTTATCATTGTTGATGCCAGATGGATCTTGGCTAAAAGCAGAGAATGCCAGAAAGATGTTTGCTTGTGCTTTGTTGACTATGAGAGACATTTGACTATATGGATCATGACAAGTTATGGATAACATTTCAAAGGAACCTGTACCTAGACCAAGGGGCAGTTGTTCGAACAGAACAAGGGGACACTGAATGGTTTTAAATCAAGAAAGATTTGCACCAAGGTTATATCATTTCACTATACTTATTCAGTCTACATGGATGCTGAGCAAATAATCCTAGTAGCTGAATTATATGAAGAGGAACATAACATCAGGATTGAAGGAAGAACCATTAACAGATGACATAACCCTGTTTGCTGAAAGTAAAGAGAAGTTGAAATACTTAATGATGAAGATCAGAGCTATAGTCTTCAATATGGATTGCATCTCAATATAAAGAAAATGAAAATCCTCATATCTGATCAATGAATAGCATCATGATTGAAGATTTTAAAGACTTCATTTTGCTTGGATCCATAATCAATCTTGATGGAAATGGCCAACAAGAAATGCAAAGATGTGTTACATTAGGCAAATCTGCTGCAAAGACCTCTTTAAAGTGTTAGAGAGCAAAGAATGTCCGTTTGAGGACTAAGGTGCTTGGTTCAAGCCATGGTATTTTCAATTGCTTCATATACATATGAACATAAGACAATGAATAAGAAGACCTTTGAAGAATCAATGCAGTTGAATTTTGGTGTTGACAAAGAATATTAAAAGTACCATGGACTGCCTGAAAAACAAACAAATCTGGTTATGGATAAAAGTGCAGCCAGAATGCTCGTTAAGAACCAGGATGGCATGACTTTGTCTCTCATACTTTGGATATGTTGGCAAAACTGGCTAGTCCCTTGAGAAGTACACAATGATTGGAAAAGTGGAGCTTCAGCAAAAAAGAGGAAGACCCCCAACGTGATGGACTGGCAAAGTGGCAGCAACAATGAACTCAAACGTAACGATTGTGAAGCTGGTACAGGAGCAAGCAGTGCTCCGTTCTACTGTGCTATGGTTTTTCTGGTCACTATGAGTTGAAACTGACTCAACCACATCTAACACTACTACTAACTCTAGCCATAGTCTCTATAATCCCAACAAATTACTTTTCCTGATGGTCCTGTGTAAGAGACAGTGAGTGAAGCTACTTGTAGGATTCTATGAATCAATTGTGAGTGATTGTTAACAGGGCTTATTGTGATTTTAAAACTAGGAATTCTAGTGTGGTATAAAATGAGCCATTTTACAAGCAGAAGAAAGAAGTTCTGGATTACAAATTGGTCTACTAACTTCCAGGTCAGCAGTTTGAATCTACCAGCCACTCCAAGGGAGAAATATGATGCTTTCTGCTCCTGTAAAGATTGATAGCCACAGAAACAAGTTGGAACTGACTCCACAGCACATAATCATCACCAAAAGGAGGAGGGAGGGGAGCTCATTACCATCAAGGAAGACGAGCAAGCAGTGGAGTGTGTCCTTTGAATCTTCAGATCCGTGCACTTTGAAATGCCTTGATCCAGGTACAGAAAACTGTAACACCAAAGAAGTGATAGAGGAGCAGCAGCAGAAGTAGAACTAAGAGCCAGAGCACCAGACAGTGCTGTGGGCTTCCTGACCCGCACAGAGAGTCAAGTTGAGTGCCTACAGAGAGGAGGCTAAATGGTGCTGTGGGGTGCCCATAGGCACTTAATTGGAGAAGCTAGTTTTGCTGACCCAAGTGCCTTCAGGCTGAGGCTTATAGCCTATGGAGTGCCCTCTGGGAATTCAGCAGCAGCCCTTAAACAGTTTTGTGGCATTGCCTGTGGGCATGGCTGAGGACTCTCCATATGCGAAGAACTGTACCCTGATCATTTCTGATCCTCCATTGTAACCTGCTAACATCCCTCATAAATCCCGGAACTGGGAGTATGGTTCTGTGTGGGAAGGATGGTATCTGAGTTCTGTGCTGGAGGAAGGATAATTGAACACTGAAGGCATGTCTGACCTCAGCCCCATAGGAACAGGCCTTGGGCTATGTGGAATTTGATCTTTCTTCCTTATGAAGTAAGAGTTCAGATGATGATGCCGCCACACTTTTTCCTCTTTAACATAGAGACTATGGAGCCCTAGTGTGGTGCTGTGGGTTAATGAGTCAGACTGCAAAGCTGTTTGAACTGCAAGATCAGTGGTTCAAGCTCACCAGCTGCTCCTCGGGAAACCCTATACAGGGTCACTATGGTTCAGAATCGACTCGACGGCACTTAACAACAACAACATAAAGACTATAAAAAATGCCCCCAGGTTGACATTCTAGCTGTGTTGATTGCAACCAGAATATGCTTACCTGGGAGAGCCTGTCCCCTTCCGAGGTATCCTTACCCCAGCGCAAGTAGCCAACCTCGCTGCGGGCCAGGACTCCATGTAAGACTTCTTGAGAACTTCCATTCTGACAGCCATTGAAAACATTTGGACTTGCTCTTCCAGTTAAAATCATGTTCAGCACTGCCTAGATGGGGTATTTTACAAATATTTACAATTTAGGTAGTAATGAGGTAAGATTGAAATCTGTTCTTTGCATTAAAAAAAAAAAAGTTTTAAATGACTATTTTTACTAAAAAGAATGAAACCATACAATACACAATTCTGGGAAAGCATAAAGCCTAAGTGCTGGTAGAACTGAAACAATAGTTTATTGACTTTTTTCTTGAAATGGACTTAACTGCCCATGTATACCACTCTGATCTTATTGTCTTTCCTCCCTGTAAATTCCTTTAAACTTGATTTCCATAATCATGACTCAAAAAGCATTGAGTAACTCAAGATACTTCTTATTTAGAGGATCCTGGTGGGTCTGGTCACATTTTCTAATGTTTTTGGAATCTCAGGGATGTAGCTCTCAGAGGAATCTAAGAGGGCTGTAGTAAAAATATATTCTGATAATAATCTTCTTATTCTTTCAAGATAACTTGATAACTCTGCTTAGGGAGAAAAAGCCTATTGCCACTGAGTCACCTCTGACTCATGGAGATCCATGTGTGTCAGACTAGAACTGTGCCCCGTAGAGTTTTCAATGCCTGGTATTTTTTGGAAGTAACTTGCCAGGCTTTTCTTCCAAGGTGCCTCTAAGTAGACAGAGGCATATTAAGTTAGCGACAGAGCATATTAACTGTTTGCACCACCCTGAGACTTCCTAAGGAGAATATGCTAAATTAAAGAAGCAGCCTAATTTAGATTCTATAATAGAAAGGCCAAATCTTCCAGCCCACCTGCCTGCAGAGGAAGCCTCCAACATTTGGCTGTAACAGATGAGTGGTGCTGACGTCTAGGTCCTTCTGAAGCCTGCAGATAGGAGATACCATCAGCTTTTGGGTAGAGAGGATGATTGTGCAGAGAACCTACAGTCTCTACTCTTCACCCCCAACACCAAGTAGCAGTAATAATGGCCTTTACCAGACTGTCTCTCACACAGACCCTCCTTGCATGCTTTGATCTTTCACTGGGAAGGCTTCAAGTATGGATTGGTGTAGTGATGGGGAAATTATGGATGCAGGCAGGGGATGCAAGAGGTAGTGGTGAGGGAGAATGGAGAAGACACAGACATCTTTTACGTTAGAATCCCTGTGTAGAATTCCTAGTCCAGCTCTATGAGGATGCTGGACTCTGTAGAGAAGCTATCTTCACCGTGTGGCAAGAGATTTGGCTTATTGTGGCAACACATGATCACATCAGAGTGCTGACCTAAAGCGAGGCTGAACAGGCTGTTCAAGTGGAAAACACTAGCTCTGTAGCTGAGCCCATTCCTTGGTGGCAGAAGGGGAGCCTCCACTGTTATGTCAGGGGCATGAAGTTGGGGTTCTACCCTTGGCAGCATCAGGTCTAGGTAGAATGTGGCTCTCGCTATCACCCAGGATGACATGTGGAGTGCCAGTATATGTGCTATATGTTTTCTTGAACAGACTGGAGGTTGTTCCCTTCTGCAAACAAGATATAAAAACTTAGGTCATTCATGGTGAGTGCTTTGGGTGGTGTCAGATATAACTCTGAGCACAAAGTATGGTGGGATTTTAGGTGATAGAGTATAAGCATCTTAAGTGCTAATGGTGTGGTGCTGTGGGTTAATGTGCTGGACTGCAAAGCCAGTCTGAACGCACAAGTCAGCAGTTCAAGCTCATCAGCTGCTCCTTGGAAACCCTATGCAGGGTCACTATGAGTCAGAACTGATTCTATGGCACTTAGCAACAACAACAACAACAATTGTGATATATATTTTATAATAATAAGGGAAAATGTCTCTTCAATTCACTGTAAAGGATATGAAAGTTTAGGAAGAGGTTGAGATTTAAATGTGTGTTCATTTCAAGAAAATATTTAAGCAAATAATAATATAGACCTTAAAAATGTGATGGTGGTGTGCAAAATAAAAATCACTTTCAGAAACACTGTTTTAGGAACACTGGTAACATAGTGGGTTACGCATTGGGTTGCTAACCACAAAGTCAGCAGTTCCAATCCACCAGTGGCTTCACGAACACGAGAAAGACAGACGAGGCTTTCTGTTCTGGTAAAAATTTACAGCCTTAGAAGCCCTATACAGAATTGCTGTGAGTCAAAACTGCTCTATGGCACACCACCACCACTAATTCTCTTTCAAAAGAGTCCCTATCGTTCTGTGCCTCTCACAAACTTATCTTTTCTTCAGGTTCCATAAAGCCTTTCCTGACCACCCTACCCGGTGGAGACCCTGCCTCCCCTGGAATTTGCTACAATTCATTATCTTTGTAGCTTATTGGGTACATACCAAGCACCAGTTTGTACTTGCTTGGTATCTCAATGCGCATCTCTTTTTTTCACCTCTACTGGAGTCTAAACAGTGCCAAGAACAACATTTTTCTTATCATAGAGAGACAAAATCAATTTTATGAATCATGATAATATATATTTAATTATGAAGGTTGAACAAATAAGTATTGGTGTCATCTGCCAATATTTGCAATTACAAGATGAAGGTTCCTACTACTATCTTAGAAAAACAGATTCAAACTTTCCTGATTATGTCTACTTGTTCCTTAATGTGGCCATATCAATTATAGAAAAGGGCATGTGGACGGAGGACTATATATTAGAAAAAATTTGCACATATTTTGAATATGGATAAAATTATTTTTCCCAACAAAAGAGTACATTTTTTATATGACTCCAGACCCTAGAGGAAATATCTGAGTAATTAGGTAGAGAATTTACCTTTCAAATGTCCTGGAGAAGAGTAGGCTGTAAAGAAACAGGATGACACCGTGGCATCCTTCCTCACTGAACTATTGGAAAACAAAAACATGTTTGACTAAAAGCAGTACATCTTTGGGTATGAATAGAAGAATAAATATATATATAAATATGTGTGTGTATATATTCACACTGGGCTGCTAACCTCAAAGTCAGCAGTTCCAAACAACCAGTCACTCTGTGGAAGAAAAAGGAGGCTTTCTGCTCGCATAAAGATTTACAGCCTTGGTGTGGCACTGTAGGATAAGCACTGGACTGCAAGATAGGTTTGAACTGTGAGGTCACAGGTCTAATCCTCCAGTCACTCCTTGGAAACCCTGTACAGGGTCACTATGAGTCAAAAGCAATTCGATGACACTTAACAACAACAAACATAGGGTCACCATGAGTTGAAATCGACTTGGTGGTGGTGGATTGGTTTTTTTGATGTTTATACACACACACACATACACACAAGGGGTTTCAGAAAGTTCATGGAAAAACTGCATTAACTTTTGATTCTATTTTTCCACCAACTTCTTGAAGTCCCCGTGTATGAATGCATATCTATGTAGGAGCTTGGGTGGTGCAAATAATTAAGCATTTGGCTGCTAATTACAAGGTTGTCAGTGTGAACCTAGTAGCTCCATGTGGACCTAGCGATCAGCTTCTGTAAAGATTACACCGAGGAAACCTCCTGGAGCAGTTCCACTCGGTCACATTGGATTCCTATGAGTCAAAGTCAACGCAATAACATCTAACAAGACATGTTCATCAACTTCATCCTCCTGCCTCCCTTCTTAGCTGCAGATGACACCATCATTCCCTTAGTCTTCTATTTTCCAGCATCCCTCCTAACCCAGGCCTTCAGTGTTGTTTGAAGCTGGTCTCCTTTTACCCAGCTTGTCCCAGCTCAGTGTAATCCTCTTCCTTGCCCCATCAAATCCAGGTGGAGCACAGGGGCTGTAGAAATCGCTTTTGGAGTTCAATTCCAATCCTGGTGTGATGCTGTAGGATAAACGCTAGACTGCTAACCACAAGATTGGCAGCTCAAACCCACCAGCCTCTCTTTGGAAATCCTATACAGGGTTGCTATGAGTTAGAATTGACTTGACAGCCCGTAACAACAATGTCTTACTGTAGGAGACCTGGTAGCATAGTGGATTATGAGCCAGTCTGTTAACTGCAAAGTTAGTAGGTCTGATCCACCGGTGGCTCCACAGGAGAAAGATGAGAGTTTCTGTACCCGTAGAGATTTACAGCCTCAGAAACCCTATACGGGGTCACTATGATTCACAACTGAGTCAATGGCACACGACAACATCATTTTACTAATCTCCTCACTTGCAATTGGGGCATAGAAACACTTTCTTCCCAAGCTTGTTGGATCCTGTGATCTCTAGGACCAAAGTCAAACTGTCATCCAGCATCCAGGGCCTCTTTTCAATTGGTCTCACCTTAACTTTATGTCAGTATCTGCCTAAAAGCAGCTCTTCGCTGGGCTGGCTTTAGTGGTGCCCAGGATTAATGCCCTCCTTTAAAATTTAAAGGCTTTGTTTCAGGAAGGTTTCTGCTAAAATGCACATGTTTTTCCTGAGAGGGATAAATCTCTATATGGATTGATTTATCCACTTTGCTATCTGTGACCTAGCAGGGAGCAGGATCCCCAGGCAGAAGAACAAATTCTGGAGCCATAGGAGCCAGGCAGGAACTTGAATGAGTGCACGGCAAGGGTGAGAGTGAGATGGGAAGAGGCAGGGCCTGAGGCAAACCAGAGAGCACTTGTGTATTTTTTCCTGTGGCTGCTGTAACAAATTACCATAAACTCAGTGGCTTAAAACAACAGGAATTTATTAGCTTATAGTTCTAGAGGTTAGAAGTCTGGCGTCGGTCTCAGTGAGCTAAAATCAAGGTATTGGAAGACCTGCATTTTTTTCTGAAAGTTCTAGGAGGCAATCTGTCTTCTTGCCTGTCTCAGAGTCCCTGGGTAGTGCAACAGGAAGGTTGGAGGTTCGAATCCACCCAGAGGTGCCTAAGAGCAATCTCCTTCCAAAAAATTAGCCTTTGGAAACCCTATGGAGTAGTTTTACTCTGACACATGTGGAATTACAATGAGTTAGAATTGACTTCATGACAACTTCTTTGTTGTTGTTGCCCTTCCAGCTTCTAAAAGCCACTCTCATTCCTGAATTCTGACTTTTAGCCTCCTTATAGGGATCCTGTGATTACATTTGGGAGCCCTGACTGTGCAGTGGTTAAAGCGCTCAGAAAGCCTTAGAAATACTGTGGGAAGTTTTACTCTGCCATTTAGGGGCACTGTGAGTTGGAACTGACTGGCAGCAGTGGATTGTATTTTGTGTGTGCGATTAAAACCTTACCCATCGCAAGATTCTTAATCATATCTGTAAAGCCCCTTTACCATATCAGGTAACATATCCATGGGCTCTAGGGATTAGGACAAGGACATTTTTAGGAACCATTATCCAGTCTACCACAATTTGTCAAATGGAAATAGCTGGCCCAACATTAGGTAGTTGAGAACATGTAAGAATATAGGCCCAGTGTGGCTAGATTTTCTGTTTTTTTGGGAAAAGCTAAAAATCCAGGTTTTTCTGAGGGAATGTCCTTTTTTTGATGTTCACTGATTCAAATATTTAAAAACCACACCGCTATTTGGGCTAATGCTATAGATTATATTATATTATATATGATGGGTCTACTGACCATATGTAGCTGAGACCTCTGCACAAGTAGAATGGGTCATAGAATTAATGCATTTTGATAGTGAGTGGGGTTTGGTAAACTGGTGGGGGCACTGATCACAATGTGCAGCACCAGGTAAGGGGATTTTCCTTGAGAGGAAAATATATGCCTTCAGATTTCCTCTTCCTTGGGAAATGATGCCAGCCCTTCCCCAGGGTGACTTAAGGTAATGGTCCTCTTGGATCTGCTTGGCACAGGTAGCTCTTGTGCCAAACCCACATGTGCTTTGGTGTTTGCTATTGTTTTCCAGTTCAGTGCTTGACTGGGAAGGCCTCAGTGTGTAATTTCAGCTCTGATTCACTGATTCTCAGTGCTGGCTACACTTCTGAATCCTTTGCAGATATGGGGCTCTTTGCTACCTAATAAGATATCCAAGTTTGAACTGAAGAAGTGGAAGATGGAGAAAGAGGGAAGGTTTAATTATTTTTACTACAAAGTCCATTTCTTAAAGGAATCCTCTATATTTTGTATCTCTCTGGTAGTGTAGCAGTTACGAATCGGGCTACGAACCGCAAGGTCAGCAGTTTGAAACTACCAGCTGTTCTGTGGGAGAAAGATGAGGCTTTCTGCTCCCGTAAAGATTTACAGCCTCGGAAACCCTGTACAGGGTCACAATGAGTCGGAACTGACTCCACAGCACATAATCATCACCACCCCCACCCCCACCTACCACAAGGAATCCTGGTGTGGCACTGTGGGCTAGTGCGTCAGACTGCAAAGTCATTTGAACTGCAAGGTCCATGGTTCAAGCTCACCAGCTGCTCCTTGGAAACCCTATACAGGGTTGCTATGGGTTGGAATCGACTTAACGGCACTTAACAACAACAACCTACCACAAAGAGCTCCCAAGCAGGCTTACAGCTTCACGTTTTATGCCAGGTATTTAAAATCTATCATATAGATTTTATTTGTTTCATATTGCTGCTGTAACAAATTACCATACATTTAATGGCTTAAGCAATATAAATTTATTATCTTACATTTCGGGAGGTCAGGTTCATTGTGGAGGCTGTAGGAAAAATTCCATTTCCTTGCCCTTTCTAGTCAGGACTTTGAACCCCTTTCATTATGATTCAACCCCTTACTGAAAATTTGCATTTCCACCCCAGAGATACTGAATCTGAAAGGACATTTTAACAAGATGCATACATAAAATCATCTAAGGCTCTTGTTAAAATGTAAATTCTAATTCTGTATATCTGGGGTGAAAATACACATTCTCAGCAGGGGCCACATTGGAATGAACCAGTTGGAAGTCCTATTTCCAGCTTCTAGAAGATCCTCCTTCATTCATTGGCTTGTGACCAACTTCTTCCATCATATTCAAAACCAGCAATGGTAGGTTAGTATTCTTATCAAGTCACCTGGCTCTGAATTCCTCTTCTGTCTCCTGTTCCACATGTAAGGATTCTTTGATTACACTGGGATCATCTGAAAGTCCAGGACAATCTATCTGTTTTAAAGCTGACTGATTAGCAACTTTGATTCCATTTACAACCTTAATTCCTCTTTGCCATGTAAGATTGCATATTCATAAGTTCTGGGAAGCAGAACATAGATATCTTTGGGGAAACTATTCTTCTGCCTATCACACAGGTTAAAAACAGACCAATGAGGTGGTGAGGGAGGTAGGTCCAAGGTACATGCTTTAACCAAGAATCAATAGTTAGTATTTGGCTGAAAATCCATGCCCATATTTTCTGCTGGTATAGGACTTGGAAAGGAATAGAGCAGTGAGTTTCATGGATCACATTTCTCTATCCCATGTAAGTTCAGAGTTGTACCAGAATAGCTTAATGGTTGTCTTGCTAATTGTCCTTGCTTTTAAAATCTTCAGATAACCCATTTTCATTCTCCTCTTTCCACCCCAAATCCACTGCTGTCAGTTTTGATTCTGACTCATAGCAACCCTACAGGACAGTAGAACTGCTCCACGGGGTTTCTGCAAATCTTTATGAGATCACATAGCCTCATCTTTCTCCCTCAGAGAGGCTGGTGGGTTCAAACTGCTGAGCTTTCGTCTAGTCTATCAGTCTAATGCTAATTCGCTGAACCACACAGGGCGTCTTCTCCCCACTGCCCGAGAAATCTTAAAGATGCACCTTCCATTTCCCACCACCACTCAGCTCTACTTTGTCCCCCTCACCACCGGAATCACTGGAGGTAAGGACATTGTACAGAAGGTACAGATAAACTCATGGAAGCAGCAGCCAAATGATGTATCACACTGGATAAATCTGCTGCAAAAGACCTCTTTGAAGTGCTAAAGAGCAAAGTTGTCACTTTGAAGCCTAAGGTGCACCTGACCCAAGCCATGGCATTTTCAATCTCTTCATATGCATGTGAAAGTTGGACAATGAATAAGGAAGATTGGAGAAGAATTGATGCATTTGGATTATGGTGTTAGCAAAGAATATTGAGATTACCACGGACTGCCAGAAGAATAAACAAATCTGTAGCAGGAGAAATAGCCACAATGTTCCTTAGAAGCAAGGAAGGTGAGGCTTCATCTCATGTACTCTGGACATATTAACTTAGTCTCATATACTTTGGACATGTTATCAGAAGGGACCAGTCCCTGGAAAAGAACATCTTTCTTGGTAAAGAGTCAGTGAAAAAGAGGAAGACCACTAATGAGATGGATTAACACAGTGCAATAGTGGGCTCAAAGATAACAATCACAATCGTGGGGATGGGGTAGGACCAGGGCAGTGTTTTATTTTGTTGAATGTAGGGGTCTTTATGAGTCAGAACCAATTCACTGGCACCTCACAACAACAATGGCAACAACAACTGATAGAAGAGGTAAAATGTAACCTGAAGTCATTTACTTGGACTCAATACAGCTGGTTATTTTTGGCAGCTAAGATGAGGGCCTTAGTTTTCTATCATTTTTGTTTTTTGTTCATTAGATGAGGCAAAGGTAGCCTTAGTATTTTTCCCCCACAAAAGAAATCCTGGCATAGGCCCTCTAAAGTATTATCCTCTGAATTTGATTAGCCGAGGAAAAGAGGCATTTGTGAGTGGACCTTTGTGATCTGGACCTCTTTCTAGGTTGTGGGGAGGGAGAAGCAGTCTTCTCTTTCTCAGAGTCCGCCTTTCTTAGCTCTCAAAATGACCTGGTTTTCTTAACAAGCATCATTAGGACTATACTTTATAAAAGAAAGAAGATTCCTGTAAGATCAGTTGAACATAAAGGAATTTTCTCAACACTTAAACACTTACACATTGTAAATGATCATAGATGAATTTCTCAGTGGCGTCTTTCTCTAAAAATTCAAACAGCTGGAGCTATAAATCAAGAATAGAAGATAAAAATGAAAAGGAAGATGAAAGTCACATCTAAGAGATATCAACTCTCTGTTATTACCTCAAAGGAGTTTTTTATTTCATTGCACAATCACATTGCTAAAAGCTTGGCACATTATCTTACATAAGACCATGTAAACCATACATGGGGAAACTGGGTGACAACCGGCATCGTGACTTTTACATTCCTCAATTTTAAGCCATTAAGCATTACAACGACAAACATGATTTTTCCCTAATGGAATTTAATTATTTTTAAAATAGTCGCTATGAAATGTTGTTAATGATGATTTCAGGTATGGGATAATCTTGAGCATGGTAAATTCTGGAAGGAAGAATTCACAGCAGGACTCTTCATTTTGGGTTCTGGGTCACTTATAGCCCTGGGCACTTGCTTCTTTGAAAGGCACCTTTAGCTCCAACCAGGTGTCCCTGGGGCTCAAACTTCATTTCCCTGGCCAATTTAGATGCACTCTGAGGTGTCTTGGCCCTGTATCTGGTAGTATAGGCAGGAGTGCACTTACCCGCTCTGTGAAATCATCCCTGGAGTAGTCAGGGGTTGAGTCAACGCAAGTGTCCTTAGTGAGAAGACAGATGGTGGCCTTCTGAGCTGCTCCTGCAGCCCACAGGATGCCAGCAAGTGCCTTGGCCAGGACCTGCTCTTGCTCCTTCTTGCTTATTTCATTTAAGCTACAATGCAGGAGATGGGAATATGAAATCATAGGAATGATTCCCACTCATGTGCTATTGTTAAATGCCATTGAGTCAGTTCCAACTCCTAGCGACCACATATAGGGATTTCTGAGGAGCAGCTGGTGAGTTTGAACCACTGACCTTGTGGTTCAAACTGACCTTATGGTAAACTGCTTATCCTACAGCGCCCCACCAGGACTCGTTCATAAATACAGATTAAAGCCTAGAAAAGTATGTGGCAGTACTACTATGTTACCTGGGATTGCTGTGTTAAAATCAACTCAATGGCCCTCAACACCATTTTGTGTTTTTTTTTTTACTTTACCTTTTTCCTTTCCTCCCTCCTTCCCTTACAAGTTTCTCCTGAGGGCATTTCCTTAATAAATCACTTGCATAAGAATTCCCATCTGAACATCTGCTTCTAGGGAACTTGACAATTCACGACCTTAAAATATATTGTACATTTAGTTCCTGTTTTTCGTGATAACTCATCCTGTCTATGGGCAGATATATGCAGTTTACTTCTTTATATTTCTTCTAATATCTAGTATGGGACTTTGCACATGATTTAGAGTTTGTTAACTTCTAAGGAAAGAGTGTTGGAACTGATTTTTTTTTTTTTTAAGGCAACTACCAAATGCTGTACTTTGTGATCTAGGTTAAGTAAGTGAATTGATCTTTCATTTACTGTTTTTTCCATCACCCCCTTTGTTCCTCCCTGAATTTGTTAGGAGGGTGGGGACTTGCCATCATTTGTGGGCAAACAAGCCCACCTGGGACCTGGTGCTTAATTTGACCTGACAAGGTGGTCTGCAGCAGAGCATAAAACCTGCCAACATTATTCCTGCAGCTGAACAGTGAGAATGACTACTCCAGGAGAGCCCTCCCTAGCCACAGACTCCATCCCTCTTATGAGCCATTTCCATCTTATGAGGCAGCTCTCCTTCCTGAAGCAGCTGAACTTTTCAGTTGTGCTTATTTAGCATATAAATTTCGAGTGAAATGGGTAACTCGGTCAAGTACTTCTCATAGTCCTCTTACCTGTGAATGTTGCCATCTTTTCCCTTCCTTGTAAACAGCAAGTATTTGATGATGAATACTTGTACAGCCATCTGAATACCTCGGGCACCTCCCTGAAATGGAGAGGATGAAGACTGGAGTGTGTCGGGATGGGAGCAGGGATTTACAGTTGTAATGGAACAATTGGGGAAAGGTGGGGCAGGCAACGATACAAAGGAGAAGTCTTGGAAATGATGGCATTATCTTTTCTTCTCTGCATTATCTAATTTTTTCTCTCCTGGTATAATGGGGTCTCCTTGGCTGAATGATGGGAGGAGACATTGTATGTGTGTGTGTGCCAGCCTATTCTTCAGGCTGGGCCAGAATCTGCAATGACTAGTTTTTTGTTTTGTTTTGTTTTTGGCACTCAGTAGTTTGGGGATACATGTCCTCTTCTAGTCTACTTTAAGGAACCCTGGTGGCACAATGTTTAAGCACTCAATTCAAACCCATCAGCCACTCCTCAGGAGAAAACACGTGGCAGTCTACTATAACAGTTACAGCTTAGAAAACCCCAGCAGGCTGTTCTACTTTCTCATATAGAGTTGCTATGAGTTGGCATCTACTTGACGGTACACAGTAACAGTATTCTACCTAAGGACTATCTGGTGGGTGTAAATGTTTAACACACTTGGCTGCTAACCAAAAGATTGGCGGTTCAAGTCTACCTAGAGGCACCTCAGGAGACAGGTGTGGCAAATTACTTCTGAACAGTCAGCTAGTGAAAAACCTATGGAGCACATTTTCACTTTGACAACATGGGGTTGACAATGAGTTGAAGTCAAATCTGCATAACAACTGGTAAATCCTACATTCACCGTGCCCCTAAGTGAGTAAGGAAGACCGTAGAAGAATTGATGCTTTTGAGTTATGGTGTTGGAGGAGAATAGTGAAAGTGCCATGGGCTGCCAAAAGAACCAACAGATCCATTTTGGAAGAAGTGCAGCCAGAGTGCTCCTTGGAGGCCAAGATGGCCAAACTTCATCTCTCATACTTAGGACATATTGTCAGGAGGGACCAGTCACTGGAGAAGGATATCATGTTTAGGAAGGTGGAGGATCAGAGAAAAAGAGGCAGACCCCAATGAGGTGGATTGGCCAAGTAGCAGCATCAATGGACTCAGGCGTGGCTACAGTAGTGAGGTTGGTCCAGGATCATGCAGTGTTTCGTTCTGCTGTGCATAAGGTCGCTATGAGTTGGTACCGACTTGATGGCACCTCACAACAACAACAACAAAGAGGTAAGGGAGGTACCCTGGTGGCATTGGTTAAGTGTTTGACTGCTGAGTGAAAGGTTGGCATCTTTAACTCACCAGCTACTTTGTGGGAGAAAGCTATACTGTACTGTAAAGATTACAGCTTTGAGAACCATATGGAGCAATTGTCTTCTGTTCTATGGAGCCACTGTGAGTCAGAACCAACTCAGTGGCAACATGCTTGATTTTGGTTTAGGTAAGAAGCTAGTTCTTGAAATTTAGGTGTTAACTGCCAGTTGATGGTGTTAATTGGTGTGACTTAAAACAAGCCAAAAAAAAAAAAAAAAGTATCTAGAGCTCATCCAGCCTTCTAAAGCCTCATCAATGCCTAATACTTGGAGAGAAGAGATGGGAAGACTAGAATTTGAAGGAAAAGAAATTGGGGTTTGAGACTTGCTACAACCCAGACGGGATGTTATAATTTCAAATAGCCTGTTCTAACTTGAAGCTAATTTTTCTATATATGATTATAATGGAAACATACATTCATGAGGAGTCAAAGGAAACATGGGTAGGGAACATGGGAGGAGGATTTTTAAACATTATCAATTGACTATTACCTTTCCCATTTCCAAAGCAAAAGCCAAGTCAGAAAATGGTTTATGGAACTTGAAATAGGCCCTTTTCCAATCATAGCTGAAGAGATGGGTAGTGTTTCCAAAGAGGTTCTGTCGCAACTTCTGAAAAAAAGGGAAATAAATTATTCAACTGAAGATAACTCTTCTGAGACATACTCCTTGTCAGACCTTAAGTCAGATGGTGGAACCACACAGGTGGTTTTCCCCTTCCTACATTCAGATTCACACTGCCTGTATTTTAACTGTGAAAAGTTCTGTGCAAAAGAGTCATGTCAGTTTCATTAATGGTATCTTACCATGAAGGCTTTGTGTGCCAAACCTTCAGTGACGCTTTCCAGCCCTCTTCCCGGTACCTCCTTATCCTCTTTTGTAGGTGACTTCTCTGGTCCTGTGCCTATACTCCTTATTTCCATGAGTGTGTCACTTCTGCTTCCACCTGGGGTCTTCTCTCTCACTCCAGAAAAGAGGACAGACAGGACCCCATGTTTCTAGCCTGTGGACAGTAGCAATTTAAATGATATTAAATAGGCATTATCTTTTCTCTTGGTCTGGGATCTTTGAGATATTCCTGGATACTCTACAGAAACAGGAGAGGACCTTTAGAACATCCCAAAAAAATAGAAATAATTTTGTATATTTCTTTATAAACCTAGACATATGAAAAAAAAGCTAAAAAGGGAATCTATTCATAATCAAACCCCACAACTATGTAGAAGACAGAATGTGTGACTTTCCATAAGTTAAGTACAAAGAACCATATAAGAACAGAGGAAGGGGAGAGAATTTCTGATTAAAATACTCAGGAAGACCTCCATTCTAACTAGGTAGATGGCATTTAGCATATATTGAGCCTATTCTACGTGCCAGGTACTGATTTAAGTGTTTTATATTCAGGATGGTGTTGTTAGTTGTCAACAAGTCAATTCTGGCTCCTGGCATCCCTGTGTGTACACACTAGAATTGTTCCCTAGAACTGTTTTCAAAGTTGTAATGTTTCAGAAAGCAGATCACCAGGTCTGTCTCCTGAGCACCTCTAGATTGGTTTAAACTGCCAACTTTGCGACGTGTAATCGAGTGCTTAACTGTTTGTGCTACCACATTTAAGGTTATTGTTGTTAAGTGCTGTTCCAACCCATGGTGACCCTGTATAGAGTTTCTGAGGAGTAACTGGTGAGCTTGAACCGCCAACTCAGTGGTAGATAAGGTAGAGAGAGATAAAATAACTGAAACACAGAGAGGCTGTGGTATTTGCCTCAGGTCACCCAGTTAGTAGAAACAAAGCTGGGATTCACACCATTCTCCTAACACTGCTGAAGTGATTCTCCACCTTTAAACCTGTGTATTCCATCTTTATGATTCCTGTCATGCATATGCATTAATCATCATTTTCTTAATAGTTTTAACTAACTTGGGTCACTTTTTAAATAACTTGTTGTTGTTAAGTGCTGTTGAGTTGGTTCCTACTCATAACAACGCTGTATAAGGTTTCTGAGGAGCAGGCGGTTGGTTTGAACTGTCGACCTTGTGGTTCACAGTCCAGTGTTGATGCCAGTGCTTATGCCAGGAGTCCTAAAAGAGATAGGAAGTGCTAAAGAGGTGTGAACACATGCTGCCACGAACCTTATCTGAGGGATTGTCTACCAGAGTGGAGAAGGGGTAACTTTCTTACCAGGCTACTCAGTGTCACTTAATATGTTACTTAATGCCACATCCCCAAAGTACTCAATGTTCCATAGAGGCAGCCATCACACACTCTGGGACACACCACACAATTGTCTATACAAGAACGGAGGCCGGACAGAGAGAAAGATCTACAAGCACACATATATACACACATTAAGTATCCATGAGTTCAGGGATGCTCTATGTGTTTTTGGACTCCTGGAACCGGCAGTAGAGGGGAAGTTGAGGTTGGAGAGTTACCAGTTGCTGTTGAGTCAACTCTGACTCATGGTGATCCCAACTGAGTCAGAGTAAAACTGTGTTCAGTAGGGTTTTCACTGGCAAGTTTTTGAGGAAGTAGATCACCAGGCCTTTCTTCCAATGCACATCTGGGTGGACTCAAACCTCCAACCTTTCCATTAGTAGCTGATCATGTTAACCACTTGTACATAGCTTGAGCCTAACCCTGGAGGGCTTGGAGTATCATAGTCAGGCATTTGGAGCAAGTTTAAGAGTGTGAACAAATGGAGTATGGAGTCTGATTGGTCTAGAACCCTCAGTACTGCTTCCCAGGTGTGAGCCAGTGACAAGGAGACATAGCAGGGCTCCGAGAGCAAGCTTTCAAGTAGGTTTCAACTCAGAGCCACCCTGTGTAGGGTTTCTGAGGAGCAGCTGGTGGTTTTGGACTGCCAACATTGGGGTTAGCAGTCTAATACTTTATCGAATGGAGCAACACCAGGACCCAAGGGAGAGTCACAGGAGATCTAGAACATGCATCTAGAACATTCTTCCCCAAAGCATGTCTGTCCAGGATCTGGTTCTGTGACTATAGATGATTTCCTGACCTTCTTTTTTTCCCACCCTCAGTAGAAAAGCTTGGAGTCCTTATGTGATGCTGCAGTATAATGTGCTGGACCACAAGCTCAGTTTGAACCACAAGGTCAGTGGTTCAAATCCACCAGCTGCTC